ATGTTTGGGAAGGATTAGGAGGTGTGGCCTTCTTGGAGGAGGTGTGTCATTGGGGGAGGGCTCAGAGGTCTCAAAAGCCCATGCCAAGCCCAGTCTGCCCTGTAGATCCCAGCTATTGCTCCAGGGCCGTGTCTGCCTGCTGCCACGCTCCCTGACATGATGGTCACGGACTAACCCTCTGAAACTGTAAGCAAGCCCCAAATTAAATGCTTTTTTTTTTTAATTAGCCTTGGTCATGGTGTTTTGTCACAGCAATGGAACAGTAATTAAGACACTTGACGCCACCATTCCCACTCCTTAACACATGGTCCTTTTAGCCGAGGCTCGGGTGAAGGCACCTCACTCCATGGAGCCTGTTTCCTCCACTGATAGGGTCTTGTTTTCACTTACCAAACACGTGCCCTTGACCACCTGAAAACACCAGCCACTTGCTTTCCCAGATTCCCTCACTGCTGAAGCATGAGTCTGTGATCGATGGCCAACACCATCAAAAACTTCTGCTAGGGCACTCCTGAAAGAGGTTGTCCTTACAGGAAAACAAAATGGAGCACATTTTGGAGCACAGGAGGAACTAACTACCCCTCTTGGGGGGAGGGGTGGACATCACTATGTCTACATTTGAGGGCTGGAACCCGAAGTCACCTGCTGTCACGAGGCGTCAAGCTTAAGTACCCCGTCATTTTCAGGGTCTAGAGAAGCAGAGAGATGGGGACAATCTCGAATCCTGGGCTGGCGAGATGGCACAGTGGAGGACGGCATGCCGCCAAGCCTGATGACCTGAGTTCAATTCCCAGGACCCACATGGAAGGAGGGAACCAACTCTCCCAGGTGGTCCTCTGACCTCCACAACAGTGCTACTGCATTCACACACAGACACTCATGAGATAAATAAGTAATAAATAAATGCAACAAAATACATACAGCTCAGAACAGCACCACTTAGGGCCAGCAACATGGCTCAGCAGGCAAGGACCCTTCTCACCAAGCCTAATTCACATGATGGAAGGAAAGATCTGACTCCCCCAAGCTGACCTCCATACAGGCTCTCACACACATACAAAGCAACAAATGAATGTAATTATACACACACACACACACACACACACACACACACACACACACACACACACACCTAGAATCCTGGCCAACCCAAACCTCTGCTGTCCTGGAATGTGAGGAGACATGCCGTGACACATCTTCCTCCTTGTTGAAGCTGCTCTGAGTTTCCTGCTTTATCACTTCACAACCCAAAGAAGCCCTAATGGGCTCCCCACTGCCCAGGAAGGCTGCGGAAGGAATTTCTGGATCACACCAGCTCCAGAGACCACTGATCTGTGCCCAGCGCAATAAACACTCTGGCAATTTGGAAGCTGTCTTGGAGCTTTAATCTAGCCTCACATATTAGCTCTCCTCACACCCCACTGAGAGAAGCCTGAGAGTGTTCCCAGAGAGCAGAGCCTGGGAGAAGGCCATGCCAGCGCCGCCCGCCTGACAGGGCTGACCCTACCTCCCAAGAGCCTAATGGGTTTTGCTCTTCTCTCCCCGATGGAGTGAGTATCCAGGGCCCCAGTGCGCTGGTTTGTCCCTCACTCGGCAGAACAGCCCATCAATTATTCACCACATCAGCTCAGGCTCCCCAGGATGCGATCGGAAGGAAAGTGATTGCTACCCACCCTGCCCAGAGGAAGGACACAGCAACTAAGTACTGATAAGAACAGCACCCTCCCTGAAGGTGAGCACCTTAGCTGAGCACTAAGCTAAGCTGCCACAAACACAATGTCACTGCAAAGGAGCCTTCAATCTTCATTTTACAGATGGGAGGCAGGGAAGAGAGAGGTGGAAAAAACAAACGGCTTCAGGCCAGAGAGCAGAGAGGGTCGGCTGATCCTGCAACCCTGGCCAGTCCTTTCTCCAGAATATGTGAGAGGTGGTCATTTCCGTACCTCACAAGCACCTTGAAATGATTCCACATTTGGCCCTCAGCCTGTGTGTTCTCTGAGAACCCTTCCCCCAAGCCTCATCATGCTGACAGGCTTGGCTTTAGAGCTTGTCAGATGGGGGGGGGGCAGGTGTGGATGATAGAGAGAGCAAAGATGCAGGAGCCACAGGAGGGCTGTGAGAAAGGAGTGACTGACAGGACACAGGACCCTGAGATAGTCAGTGCCTGATTGCTTGCTTGATATATCCATCCACCCATCCATCTACCCACCTATCCATTCACCAATCTATTCATCCACCAATCCATAAATCCATCCACCCATCCATCATTTACCCACTCACCCACCCATCCATCCACCATCTACTCATCTACCAATCCATTCATCCATCCATCTATCATCTACTCACCCACCCACCCATGCATCCACCATCTACCCATCTACCAATCCATCCATCCATCTACCTGTCCATCCATTATCCACTCATCTACCCATCCATCTGTCCACCAATCCACCCATCCATCACCCACCAATCTACCAATCTATCTACCTACCTATCCATTCATCCATCCATCCATTCACCCAAACATCCATCTACACCCTCCCCTACCCCTCCATCCTACATATAGTTATTTGGAGCCCTCTAAACCAGGCACCATGATGTATGCTGGGAACACAGCAGTGTGTATGATACATCCTTGTGGGTGTAGAACAGAAGCATGTGGACCAAATATGATTTCAAGCAGTTTAAAGCTCATGCAGGAAAGATACTGCATGAGGTAACAGGGTACCGGGAGGTGACAGGCGTCAAGGGGGTCTCCAGGGGAAACAGTAGAGCAGGGTCTGTAGCTAATGGGGACAAGGAGAGAAGGAGCCCAGGGAACGATCTGGGGAAGGCAATTGTCAGCAGCCAGAAAAGTATAAGTGCACAGGTTCTGGGGTAGGACAGATCACTGCTTGGGAACAGTAAGGAAGCTGGTGGAACTGGGACCACACGAGCCAGAAGAGAGCAGAAAAGATGAGGCCCAAGAGCCCCGAGGCCAGAGTTGAGACCTCAGATGCACGGTGGCATGTGGAGTTCATGCTGAATGTGATAGAAACCTCCGTGGGTTTCAAACATGAATAATGCAATCTGACTTGCACCTTGGGCTGCTGGGGAAGGGACTGTGGGAAGCAAAGTGAGAGAAGGCGCTTAGGAGGCATCTGTAGCCCCCAGTCACCACAGAAAGAACAGGGTGTTCCAAACTTCACTGAGGGGTACCTTTCTGGCTACTTCTAGATGTGGGGCTTTGTGACCTTAGGCAAATTGCTCCACTTCTCTGAGCCCTGCCTTTGTATTTGTCAGTGGCTGTCAACGTTTCTATACTGACAGTCAGTGAGTATTCCCATTTCAGCTCTGGCTGCAGAAACTGCCAGAATGTGAGGTGACAGCCCAGCCTGGGATCACAGTGAGGTCAAGATGCTGTCCGGGTGAGCCGATTAAGTGGAGAAAGACTGCTCATTCCCACACGCTGCCTCCTGCAAGACGTCCGCCTATGCCCTGCAGCCAGATGCCAACCCAAACACGGTCCTTTGGCTGTTTCTTCTTGGGGAGGGCAAATCCCCACTTCCTGTCCCTGGATCTATCGTCTTAAGGACGGGGCAGGTGAGGAAGGAGGGGCCTGCCTGGGTCTCAATGGGCTCAACAGTGGGGGAACTTGTGTCAGGCCTAGAAATAGCAAAATAAGTCTGTTGATCCTAAGCCGGCTAAGGGTGAGTACCTTCCATCTTAGAGGGAGGCTTTCTGGACACGGAAACAGGGAAAGGATTACGGTCAGAGTCTTCCAGGAGGAGGAGGACCAGGCCCAGGGCCCTCTATGTCCTCAGAGCCCAGAGGCGACAGAAAATGGTTATAGGCTCTTCCTATTGCCCCACTAGACACCCTTTGCCATGTCTACTGCCGTCTCTGGAGATGACCCCAGAGTCCCTTCAGAGAAGGGACCAGTGAGGGACCAGCTAAGCCACCAAGACTCCACACTGAGAGGTCAGGCTGGCCAAGAGCCAGTACTGCTACTCAACTATGTCGGGCTGAACAGGCTATCCGGTCCTTCGCCTCTGCTCCTGCTTCCTGGGCTCCACTCTTAGAGACGTTCTTGTCTCTTTCCGAACTTGATCTCTCTGGATTCCCACACATCTCTTTTCTGGGCCCCTGCCCAACCTCCCATGCAGCCCTGAACACACTGCGATGTCCTTTACTCCTGGTACCCAACATGCAGGCCATGTGAGACAGCCTTCACTCTCCAGACACTCCCCGGTGCCAACCTGACTCGGAGGAATTGCACCTGCCCAGGCCCTTACCCCAGCCCCTCCACCTTTGCCCAGCAGCCCACCCTGTGTGGTCTCCAGCAGCCCACCCTGTGTGGTCTCCAGCAGTCCACCCTGGGTGGTCGCACTCACTCCTGCCCCTTTCTCTAGGCTTATCTTCTGCTTTGATTTGGAAATCCACATCCTCCTCCAATAGCCGACTGAAACTGCACCACACTGCAAGTACATAAACAAGGAGCCTACCAGCCCCTCACCCACAGTCCCTGAGCCTTTGGGCAGGCTGTCCTTGCCACTAGACTTCCCTATCTTTTGTCATCTCTTAAAATACCCGTGTGTGCCTCAGCCTTCACCACGCGTGCCTGTAGGCTGCGTTTATACCCTTCTTTAGTGGCCGAGTGGGGCTATAATACGGGGCTAGATACTCCAAATGCAGGGCTACCTACCCCGGCCTGGCCTCGGGGCCCGAAGGGCAAGATACTAGACTCTACCCAGCAAAACGCGCCTCTGCTCTCATGGCGGCTGTAGCATTTTAGAGTCTTATAAACCATTTCCCCCCAACCAAGTGGGGGTACACAGCACTGAATCATTGCGGGGGAGTATCTCGTGACACATGGGAAGGGTACAAGAGTGGTGGTCCTTGGAGAACTCACTCGGAGTCCCTGTCTTTCACTAGTACTCATCGTGAGGAGTCGGGAGCCGCCGCGTAGGCCTCCGAGAGGCCGCGTAGGCCTCCGTGAGGGGAGCAGACCCCAGACTCACCTTGGCGGCCACCGACGAGTTGGGTTTCTCCAGCAGGTCCCAGAGTTTCTTCCTCTTCTCGGCGCAGCACGTGTTGTCGAACTCCTCGCCCTCCCGCTCCCGCAGAGTCTCGGCCTCGCGCTTCAGCTCCTCGTTCATCTGCTCCTTCTTCTGGTGGTAGCGGGCCTGACAGCAGGACTCCAGGTAGATCTCATCGATGCCCCAGTAGTCCAGCTCCTGGCTGAAGCTCAGCGCGCACATCTCCTCCATCATGTGCAGCCGGCCCGTGCGGTAGAAATTGAGAATGGAGGTAAAGGCGCCCGGGTGGCGGTCGAAGAAGTACTCGTTGTCCTCGAGGCTGTAGTCGTCGCACACCTGGAGCAGAGAGTCGTGCGTGTTGCAGTCCCGGAGCTTGCCCAGGCGCGTGCGGGGCAGGCGGTCCAGAGTGCGCCACAGCACCTCGTGCGCCAGGCCCCCGACGTTGAGGCGCACCCGGCGTGAGCACGCCTTGCTGCGCACGATCTCCATGGGCTCGGGCGGCAGCGAGCTGGTGGAGCGCGAGCCATGCTTCGTCATGCCCGCCGGCATCGCTGGTCCGGCCGCCCCCGCCCCCCCTGCCCCCCCAGGCCGCTGTCACTCGACGGCAAGGCCCGCTGCTGCGGGGGCGGGGGGCGGGGAGCGCTGCGGGCCGCTGCGGTGCAGGGGTGCTCGAGGGCGGGCGTCACGGCTGCCGTCTCACCTCCATCCCGACGGCTGCGAGGCAGAAAGCGAAAGCGGACGCGGGTCAGCGAACCGCGCTGCGAGGTTCCTCCCCCCTAGGGTCCCCACCGGCCTTGACCTTCCCGAGGCTTAAGCGGCTCAAGGGGGGGAGTGGCGGGGGGGGGGGGGGGGGGGGGGGGGGGGGGGGGGGGGAGGACTGATGGCCGCTGTCCCTCCCGCCGGTGCTGAAGTCAGCCCCACCCCAGGACGGAGGGAGGGGTGGCCCTCCCGGCAGGAGAGGCCCCCAAGAGGCTCCCGGGAAGCCCCACCCCCGCCCTGGCGCAATCCGGCCGCCCGGGGCGCTGTCCGCCCCGTCGAGTGCTGAAACTCCCCGCTCTGCGGGTCTCGGGATGGAATGCCCAGCCTGGCCCCGCAATGGGGAGACCGACAGAGGCAGGGAGAACTTTCTTTTTTTCTCTTTTTAGTGAGTTCTCATCTCCTCCCACCCCAAGATGCTCAGGATTTGGGGTGGGAGCATAGCGATGGCATTGGGCTTGCTTTTTCTAAATCTTAAAAGATTTTGGATCGAGTGGGGATTGTGGAGGCTACCAGATGCCCACCTGTCGGAGGTCACCAGGCAACCCTGTCCTGGGACGACCCCACTCCTCACAACATCAGGACCTGAGGTCGCTCCCGAGACCAGGTGAGGGTCGAAGGAACCAAGCCAGCGGGGTCTGCACCTCCCTGTACGCCCCCCCCCCGACCCTAGCGCAGGAGGGGCGCGGAGTCCTCCGGATCAGCCTGCTCAATGCTCCCCTCCCGCCCCCTCCCCCCTCCTTTCTCCTCCTCCCCCTCCTCCCGCTCCTCCTCCTCCTCCTCCTC